TCTCTAAAAGAAGACATTTGTATGTATTTCCCATAGGATCCTATGTTAAACTAAGTCCCCCGCTGGAGGCCATTTTGGATAATGGACCAACTGCAAAATAACAACATTTGGTCAGCACCTCATAAAGAACATTCATGCCATGTTTGGTTTCATTCCATTCAATGGTTCTCTAAAAGAAGACATTTGTATGTATTTCCCGTAGGGTCCTATGTTAAACTAAGTCACCCACTGGCGGCCATCTTGGATGATGGATCGACTGCAAGGTAACAACACTTGGTCAGCACCTCATAAGGAACATTCATGCCATGTTTGGTTTCATTCCATTCAGTGGTTCTCTAAAAGAAGATATTTGTATGTATTTCGCATAGGGTCCTATGCTAAACTAAGTCCCCTGCTGGCGGCCATCTTGGATAATGGACCGACTGCAAAGTAACAACACTTGGTCAGCACCTCATAAGGAACATTCATGCCATGTTTTGTGTCATTCCATTCAGTGGTTCTCTAAAAGAAGACATGTGTATGTATATCCCGTAGGGTCCTATGTTAAACTAAGTCCCCCGCTGGTGGCCATTTTGGATGATGGATCGGCTGCAAAGTAACAACACTTGATCAGCACCTCATAAGGAACATTCATGCCATGATTGGTTCCATTCCATTCAGTGATTCTCTAAAAGAAGACATTTGTATGTATTTCCCATAGGGTCCTTTGCTAAACTAAGTCACCCACTTGCGGCCATCTTGGATGATGGATCGGCTGCAAAATAACAACACTTGGTCAGCACCTCATAAGGAACATTCATGCCATGTTTTGTTTCATTCCATTTAGTGGTTCTCTAAAAAGAAGACATTTGTATGTATTTCCCATAGGGTCCTATGTTAAACTAAGTCCCCCGCTGGCGGCCATCTGGGATGATGGACCGACTGCAAAGTAACAACACTTGGTCAGCACTTCATATGGAACATTCATGCTATGTTTGGTTTCATTCCATTCAGTGGTTCTCTAAAAGAAGACATTTGTATGTATTTCCCGTAGGGTCGTATGTTAAACTAAGTCACCCACTGGCGGCCATCTTGGATGATGGATCGGCTGCAAGGTAACAACACTTGGTCAGCACCTCATAAGGAACATTCATGCCATGTTTGGTTTCATTCTATTCACTGGTTCTCTAAAAGAAGATATTTGTATGTATTTCCCATAGGGTCCTATGCAAAACTAAGACCCCTGCTGGCGGCCATCTTGGATGATGGACCGACTGCAAAGTAACAACACTTGGTCAGCACCTCATAAGGAACATTCATGCCATGGTTTGTTTCATTCCATTTAGTGGTTCTCTAAAAAGAAGACATTTGTATGTATTTCCCATAGGGTCCTATGTTAAACTAAGTCCCCCGCTGGCGGCCATCTGGGATGATGGACCGACTGCAAAGTAACAACACTTGGTCAGCACTTCATATGGAACATTCATGCCATGTTTTGTTTAATTCCATTAAGTGGTTCTCTAAAAGAAGACAATTGTATGCATTTCCCATAGGGTCCTATGTTAAACAAAGTCCCCCGCTGGCGGACATTTTGGATGATGGATTGGCTGCAAAGTAACAACACTTGGTCAGCACCTCATAAGGAACATTCATGCCATGTTTGGTTTCATTCCATTCACTGGTTCTCTAAAAGAAGACATTTGTATGTATTTCCCATAGGGTCCTATGTTAAACTAAGTCCCCCGCTGGCGGCCATTTTGGATGATGGATCGGGTACAAAGTAACAACACTTGGTCAGCACCTCATAAGGAACATTCATGCCATGTTTGGATTCATTCCATTCAGTGGTTCACTACAAGAAGTTCAAAATGTAAAAAGTTAACGACGACGACGACGGACGACGACGGACGGCAAGTGATGAGAAAAGCTCACTTGGCCCTGTGGGCCAGGTGAGCTAAAAATCAGTTGAAAAAGGCTTAACTCATCAGATCGATACAAAGCAGAAAAACATCAAACATAAACACTGACCGGACGTGGCAGGGTGTTTATCTATCCATTATCCCTAACAATAAAAAGGACACTAAGTAAAGATCTGAGAGTACTCGCAGTTACTAATAGCTAGCTCAAACCAATTATAACAACAAATACAAAAAATCATGCATCTAAGTCCAAAATATCAAAGTATGTTCTGGACACGATAATATCACCAAAAATCAACTATTTTGACACTGAGGTAAAAGGTAAAGGTCTTTATGATACGCGAAACACTGTCTTATGGTAATACAGCTTCAAAACAAAAAGTCAATGTCAAAAGAAAAAAGTTAATACGCGAAAACGGTTGTGAGAAAAAGAAGGAGTGATAATATAAATCAAAATGTAATTTCGTCCGGGATACAAAACAAATCTTCTACCTCCCTTAGACAAGTTAACCTAAAAGGAATAATACTATATTTTGACCTTTGAATAAAATAGTAGGGCATAGCAACTTTCCGTTCTCGGATTTAATTTTTACGAAACTTCCAAGTAAAAGTGGCACAGTTTTAGCCGTAAAGGGAGTTCCTATGGGAAATTGCATTGTCTATATTTACAGAATTGCAACCTATATAGGGTAAAAAAAGAGAACGTATAGAATTTCACCAAATCTGGTTTATCTCAGAGATTTAAATGAAATGAACTCAAATACAAAGTTTTATGAATATTTCATAAAGATTGAGAAAATACTGGGCCTTAACTGGGATGACTCAGCATAAATTCACAGTTTACAGTTTGCATAGTTTACTTAAAGGCCTGAATTCAAAATAAATTCTTAATGTATGCATATTTGTAATTTGAATTGTTTAGAAGTGCTTATATTTACTCTTCGCAGTCATTGGATCTCATAGATCCTTCCTGAATATTGTTTTTGGGGTGTTTTTGTTCTGTCCATAACTCAAAAGTAAGCCGTAACACATGAATGTGCTTTTTTGTGACTGTGGCAAAAAAAGATACAAGCTAGAAATACAAAAATACCTCAATAAAACTAACAATAGTGTGTTCTATCCTTAATATGTATTGAATATTTCATATTCACAGAAAAAGCAGAATAATTTAGCAAATGTGAGGCCCCAGTGGCAAAAAACTGAAAAATGCATACCCCTGGGTCACAAAACAGATAATTTAACCTGTAAATGCTATGATTTTATTTTTTTAAAGGTCTTTTGTATAGAAAACAATAACTGTGCTTTGAATTTATGCAAAAAAACAGATGTTAACGGTCAGTTCTGTAAAACATTTAGTAAAGTTATACATAAGACTGGTAACTTCATACATACAACTTTTGAAAATATGGCTTTGTTTAAACACTTCTTGTTCATATATTAGCTAAATTATGTTAGATATATGGTAAGAGATGATATTGTTGTGAAAACATTTGAGGTAGAAACTGTTAACTTTAATTGACAAATAGGCATACAGTATGATGTGGCCTGGAGACAAAGGCATGATCGGATACTTTATATAATCTTGAATGTTGGAATGATTACTAGTAACTACTTAACTTTACATTTATAGTATTCTGAAATGCTTTTAATTTGTTATAAGAATAGTTTCAAACAGGTTCTAGACATTTCATGTCAGAAAACATGCAGATAGGATAAGCTGATAATAATTAAAGTCTTGTTTTCAAATTCTTTAAAAAATTGAAACAGGAGTGGGGGTATACAATACACTGTAAAAGAAAAGTTAAAGAGTAGATGCAGTGATTTCTTTAAGGCTATAATTCTAATAGATAAGTATTGTTGTAAGAAAAAGTGTTTTTCAAGAGTTTTCTATTTTAATAAATGTTTGTATATGTTCACTTTGTAAATAAAGCTGTTTCACAAGCCACGCCTCTTTTGGGGAGATATATAATATTCATAGATATGTAAATTTGTTAACGTACTGGTTCCCAGATATGATCTCTGTGTTTCATCTCATAGAGACATAACTTGAGAATGTTACCAGTATAGAAAAAAATGATAGCACCTAAAATTTAATTCTTAGGAGGTCCAAAAGTGGAGGTAGGGGTAGTATAGAATTTTAGTATAAGTTTAAACTCTTCGAAGTTCAGGGCATATAAATGTTGAAAATATACCGCACAGCCCTATATTTTGACCTTTAAATAAAATAGTAGTGCATATCAGCTTTCCGTTCTGGGATATAATTTTCCACGAAACTTCCTAGTAAAAGTGGCACGGTTTTAGCCGCAAAGGGAGTTCCTATGGGAAATTGCATTGTCTATATGTACAGACTTGCAACCTATAAGGGGCCTCGGTTGCCGAGTGGTCTAGGTAGTCGAACTACTGTATCACTAGCCTGTCAACACTGAGTTTGTGAATTCGAATCACGCACGTGGCAGGTGCGCTCGACTCAAATCTTAAATGCCAAGGACTGTCAGTTTTCCTACCAAAGGTCGGTTGTTCTCACCGGGCACTCCGGCTTCCTCTACCAATAAAAACTGACCGCCATGAAATAGGACACTAGTGCTGAAAGTGGCGTTAAACACAAATCAATCAGTTAATCATAAATAATTATAAGTACAGATTCAACAGTAGAAGTTTAACTCAAGTAAAACAATATATCACAGTTGTATAGCAATTTTTACTTTCAAAACTTAGTTGCGTGACTAACTGAGAACAAGCACATCACCGACCGTAGGAACCTATGTTTGAATATTTTGTTGAAGGTTAACAATGATAGGCTGAAAAACATACCTTAAAACAAAACATTTGAAGTCAAGGTAAAGTAAATTAGTGTTCACAATTCTAAGCCTGGCACTGTCATGAGTTTATCTTAATTCATACAACATCAAATTTAGTCAGAAACTCAACGACACAAATATGCAAAGACATCTAGATTTCTTAAGTCTTCATAATTAGGCAGGTGTCTATAAAATATGTTAATACGCTTCTAGATTTGCTGAGTCTATAAAACGTTGTGAGTGTTTGGATTTGTTTTTGACATAGGCGAGGCACATATCTTTTTATTTCATTTAAATAACGTACCTTTCTAATTTTGTAATATAGTAAGCTGGATTATAGAAATCCTCAAATGTGATAGTTGTTTCCTTAAAAAACGAAATCAGATAGGCAACGTCATAAATCATAGGTGCCATCTCAAAGTTGTTTGGACTGTCTTTCTTTTGCCAAATATGGATCACCAATAACTCAATACAAAACGATGATAAGCCAACCTGAAAAGTGTAGATGTTCAAATAATATATAAAATAGTACGGGCGAATATAAGTCTAATCAGTAAGTGTAGTTGTCAGTATTTTTTATTTCTTGTTCGAAGTTAGATGTTCGTGTTAAAATGAATATAACAAACGCTGAAATTATAGGCATAATATTATCTATCAATTCATATATTGAAGCTTATCAGTCATAAAACAAAAACACCCTTTTGAGAAAGTCTTGTATATGTTTGTTTTTATAATGGCCTGCATTAATGAATTACATTTTTTTATTATATGAGTTTGTATTGCTTGGCATGCAAATGAACCTTTATATTTTGCATTTACTTGACATAATGAATAAAACGCATTGCAGTGCCAGTCTCCAGTAATTATGATTTTCATCATTACAGTCTACAGGTATATGTAGCTATATTTTAACTTGTATCTTTTTGAATTTTTTCATTGAATAGTACTATATAAAGGCCTGCCAACAAAAGACTATAAATTTTTTAATCTATAAAACAATATTACTAACATTTTCGTAATAGTTCCAGTACTTAAACAAACGTATTAAATCTTTTGCTCTAGAAGGCACACGTTTCACAAAGTCAACTTGTTGCCTCGCCACACATTTAGCATAATAGTTTCTGTTTTGATATTTTTCTTCCATCTCATTGTATACTATCTCTAAACTTCTACGTACATTAAACGGATCTAGAAATAAATTAAACTACAGCACAATGGGTTTAATTGCAAATAGTGACTAAGATACTTCTTTCATTCTTTTACTCACAGATGACAACGGATATGTCCCAATTGTTGTTACCACAATCCTGTCCTCGTTTTCTCGAATGTGACATACCGAATTAAACTTATTACCGGGTTTGTTCTTACATGAGCAACACGATGAGAGCCACATGTGGAGCAGGATCTGCTTACCCTTTCTGGAGCACCTGAGATCACTCCCCTTTTTGGTAGGGTTCGTGTTGCTCAGTCTTAATTTTCGTCGTTTTTCGTTTTTTGCCATGGCATTGTGAGTTTATTTTCGATTCATGGGTTGGAATATCCCTTGGGTATCTTTCGCCTCTCTTTTACTCAAAAGTAAAAAAAATTATACTATAAATTCAGTAATTATTTTGTTAGATATTGTTATAAAATACTAATGGTGTATTTTTGGCGCCATGCAATTCTGAAGGAAAAATAAATAATAAAATCTGATCAAGAATAAATGTTACATGAGTATAATTATAAAAGTAACCCTTACTTTTGGAGTTCAAGCTATTCCCTCGGCGTATGTGTGTAACCTTGGTGTATCCCTTTCTAATCGATTTAGGAGCCTCAGTGGCCAACTGGTCTAAGTATTTGAACTACTATATCACGAGCCTGTCAACGCTGAGGTTGTGAGTTCGAATCCCGCATGTGGCAGGCGCGCTCGACTCCAATCTTAATGGACTAGGTTTGTTAGTTTTCCTACCGAAGGTCGGAGGTTCTCTCCTGACACTCCGGCTTCTTCCGCCAATAAAAACTGACCGCCACGAAATAGCACGATAGTGCTGAAAGTGGCGTTAAACATCCATTATTCAATTAATCAATCAGTCAATCCTAATTGATTTACGAGATAAGTACATCGGCAAACTGCTGTCGCTTTAATTTATCCATGATTGACATGCATACGTATGACTCGAACATATTTAAGGAGTCGATCTTCAAACACATGATTAAGTTTATCCAGAGTAAATATTCAATCGTTTGACTGCAACTTATTGATAAAAAATATTATTAATACATGTTACTCTATCTTATTCATAGAGTCGATATTCATAAATGTGACTCTGGCTTAAACATAAAGTCGATATCTAACAGATGAACCTAGCTTTCCCATAAAGTTGATATCAATAAACGTAACTCTTTAATATTCGTTGCTAAGAGTTGATATTCATGTGCATTGTATGTGGTTCAAACTTATTCATAAATGTGGCTCTTTTACATTTCAGGAATTATACATGTTGCTATAACTTATTTCAACGGTCGGCCTTTAACTTATTCATAGATGTAGCCATGCATGCCTTGTCGACGGTCTTCGTCTCTCTCCGTTGTGATTACATCAGATTTGTATTTTAATTGTCTATGTGAAAAGCGGATTTGCAAGTTTTTAACATCGGAGGATCGCTGTTGCTTCCTAATTACTCTAACTTTTAATAAGCCTAATATTAATATATGTGACTCTAAATCATAGGTCTACATATGTAATAATCATACATATGACTTCAACTAATCCATAAGGGCTAACATTCATACTTGTGATTCTAACTTAAAATTCATACGTGTGCATAATGATAACGGTATTATTGTTTCCTTAAATATATTTTGTTTCATTGTAAACATAGAAAATTACTCGCGGGAGGTATTTTCGCTTATTTCACTATCACGCAAAATGCACAAAAATATCGTTATTTTCACTCATTTCACCATCACGTAAAATGTGCGAACATATCCCTAGCGCAAATATGAAAATAAAATTAATACAATTTTATGCTTCCAAAGCGCTTTTCTGGATTTACCTTCATCATCAAAAGTCTTAAAGCCGGATGGAAAAATAACGAATCACGCTAATGCAGAGCAACTTTGCATTAGCAACAAAAACACAAAAAAAAAACACTTAATCAATTTTATGCGTCCGAAGCACTTTTCCGGATTTACCGACATCGGGAACAGTTTGAAGGAAGCATTTATATTGATATACAGTACTAGATAACCATTAATTCCTGATTGTAAGCCACAAGTACAATATTGGTGCATTGAAATCGTGAAAATAAAAAACCTCGAAAATTTCCACTATTACAGCGCGTCTCTCACACTAATTCATCATCATAGTGGCGATAAATGTAAAATCTTTGAACACGAAATTAAATAAATTTTTAACGTAAAAAGCTAGATACAAAACGGTTAAACAAAATGTATGTGTGTTTATGGTATATTCTATGTAGAAATAAAATGCTCCGCTAGGGGCAGCTGGATACGACCGCAGAGGTCAAACCCTGAACAATTGGTGCAAGCATGGACACTACATTCAAGCTTGATACAACTTTGAATTTGGATTGTGATTAAATATTTGACACACCATAAGTTTCTGTCACAGATCGAATGTGGTCAAAAAACTGAAAAGTTTTGCGTTGAAATTGCATTTTACCTATTATGGCCTAATATCCAAAATCTTAATACACAGTTAGATTCAGCATATCCAAGTACACCAAGAATTTAATCAATTTATTTATTAATGGTCCATAATATCTTAGTACACCAATAATTTAATTTATTTATTTATTAATGGACAATATCAGCTAAGTTTTTAAAGGGGTTTGTTTCGTTAAAAAATATATATAACATTCTCAAAATTAATTTATACAGAATAACAAACAAACCTAGCACATAAAATGAAAAAAAAAACAATTTTGAAAATATCATTCATCATTGATAGTGTCTATAAAAAATCTATAAAACTAAATATCTAATAATGAACAGTAAATTTCAAACTATATTTATACATAATTTCTAAATATAGAATATGATGCTATATATATATCTATTTTTAACTATGACTGAACTTAAAATTTCTAACAATTGTGCAATACAGCTCTAAATTTAGATTTTGATCAAATATTTGATATAGCATAGTTTCTGACACAGAATGAATGTGGTCTAAGTACTTAAATAATTCAAAATTGAACATTTACCAATTATGGTCCAATATCCAAATTCTAAATACATGGTTGGAATCAGCATATCAAAGAACCCCAAGAATTAAATTTTTGAAGAAATCCAACAAACTTTAATTTATGACCCTTTGGACCTCAATGTGGACCAATTTGATAACAGGACCCAAAATTCAAAATCTAAATACACACTTAAATTTAGGATAACAAAGAACCCCGTATATTTATTTTTTTGTTAAAAGCAAACAAAGTTTAATTTTGGACCCAAATTTGAACCAACTTGAAAATTGTGCCCAAAATTAAAAAAAAATATTATATGCTTAGATTCAGCATATCAAAGAACCCTAAGAATTCAATTTTTGTTAAAATCAAACTAAGTTTAATTTTTGATACTTTGGACCTTAATGTGGATCAATTTGAAGACAGGCCCCAAAATTAAAAATCTAGATACACGGTTAGATTCAGCATTTCAAAGAAAACGAATAATTAAATTTTGGGTGAAATCAAAGAAAGTTTAATTTTGGACCCTTTGGACCTTAATGTGGATCAATTCAAAAACAGGGCCCAAAATTTAAACTCCATTGGAATTGGTCAAGAAATAAGCAATTTATACAGAGTATTACAAAAGTATTGTTTTTGGCCCCTTTTTCCTAAACTGTTAGGGTCATAACCCCCAAAATCAATCCCAACCTTCCTTTCATAGTATAACACCGTGTGGCACAATTAAAGAGCAATCCATAGACTTATACTTAAGTTATTGTCCAGAATATCCTAGTTTAGGCAATGACCTCCAAAATCAATCCCAACTTTCCTTTTGAAGCATGGAACCTTGTGGTAAAATTTCAAGAGATCAATACTCTTATATACAAGTTATTGTTCTGACACATGAAAAATTCTTGTTTTTTGTCCCTTTTTGACCCCTAATTACTAAACAGCTACGACAATTACCCCCAAAATAAATCCCAACCTTTGTATTGCAGTAAGGAACATTGTGGTAAAATTAAATAGCGATCCGTGCACTTATACTCAAGTGATTGTCTGGGAACCAAAAAAATAATTGTTTTTGTTATCCCCTTTTTTGCCCCTAATTCCTAAACAGCTATTATAATAGCCCTAAAATAAACCCCAACCTTTCTATTGTGGTATGGAACCTTGTGCTAAAATTTAATAGTGATCCATACATTTATACTCGTTATTGCCTGCAAACCAGAAAAATAGTTGTTTTTGGCCCCTTTTCTACACCTAATAATTGACCGGTTTGGGCCATGACCCCCAAAAATCAATCCCAACTTTCCTTTTGAAGTATGGAACCTTATTGTAAAATTTCATAGAAATCTATACTCTTATACAAAAATGATTGTCCTGAAACATGAAAAATGCTTGACAAATAATTAGGCCCTTTTTGGCCCCTAATTCCAAAACAGCTATGTGTCTTTCTATGTTGTGATGTTACACTATTGTTTCAGAAAAAGGGTGAAGGTTTGGTACCATTAAAACGTTTAAACCCGCTGCATTTGTTTGCACCTGTCCTAAGTCAGGAATCTGATGTTCAGTAGTTGTCGTTTGTTGATGTGGTTTATAATTGTTTCTCGTTTCTCGTTTTTTATATAGATTAGACCGTTGGTTTTTCCCGTTTGAATGGTTTTACACTAGTAATTTCTGGGGCCCTTTATAGCTTACTGTTCGGTGAGAGCCAAGGCTCCGTGTTGAAGACCGTTCTGTGACCTATAATGGTTTACTTTTATAAATTTTGACTTGGGTTGGATGGAGAGTTGTCTCATTGGCACTCATACCACATCTTCTTATATCTATGACAATAACCTCCAAAATGAATCCCAAACTTTCTATTGTAGTGTGGAACCTTTTGCAAAAATTTAATAGAGATCCATATTATGTACACTTATACTCAAGTTATTGACTGCAAACCAGAAAAATAGTTGTTTTTGGCCCCTTTTCGACACCCAATTATTAAACGGATTGGGCCATGACCCCCCACAATTAGGTACGAGGTACTTTTGTACATGTTATAACTTGTATTTTTGCATTGTGCAAGTTATTATATTTACAATATTTCTTTACATGTTAAAACATGTACAAAATCGAAACTTGTATACGACATATACACTTATACTCAAGTTTTTGTCTTAAAACCAGACAAATAATTGTTTTTGGCCCCTTTCTGGTCCCCAATTGCAACACAGCTACGACAATAAACCCCAAAATCAATCCCAACCCTCCTATTGTGGTATAAAACCTTGTTCTAAAATTTCATACAGATCCATACATTTATACTTAAGTTATTGTCTGCGAACCAATTTATATTCTATGAACCAGTGAAACTGACCTTTGTTTGCCCCTAATTACAAAACCGCTACGACAATATCCTAAAAAACAATCCAAACCATCCTTTAGTGGTATGGAACTTTGTGCTTAAATTTCATAGAGATCCATACCCTTATAATAGGTAATTGTCAGCGAACCAAAATATCTTCGGATGTTGACGCAGACATCGTAATGACATAATACGGACGCAAGGAATTTTGCGGTCGTATAAAAAAGCAGATGGTTAGGATTTCTTTCATTTCTCTACGGGATTATTTTATTTTCAATTTTGTCCCGTTTCACTTTTTAAAAAAATGTGGTAGTTAAGGTAACTCGTTTACAATTTTTGTCATTTTTATCATGTCCGATAGCTGTGTAAGCGTTATAAAATACAACTCACTTATGACGTCAATTATCGGCAGAAAGTCTACATCAAACCAATCTCCGTCTTCAACACAACACACTTTAAATTGAAGAGTGTATGGAGTTTGTCTTATAATCTTAATTCTTATGGTTTCGCCTTTCACTGCAGCAAGTAAATATTCTTCGAAGCTAGATATTATTTCTGGTAACTGTTCACGTAAATCATCTATTTTTCGAAAATTGTTGATCACTACCAAAAGATCGACATCTGAATGGTCCTTTACTGCCGTGCCCTTTCCAAGTGACCCTCCCTATGGTTAATAAAAACATTCTAATGTTACATGAAAAGCAGAAAAAAAAACGTTTTTCGGTCACTATACCACGCATTTATCTGTAGATTATGTTTTAGCAGGTAAATCGTGTTAATCAAAACCACCTTTTTGAAAACTAGGGAAATTCAGCAATTTAATATACAAGTTTTTAAAAGTGGTGCCTCGGCATCCATTTGACAACTATCAGTGCTGATCATTTTTTGGGGGGAATTTTTCGGTTCTCAATACTCTCCAACTTCTTACTTTATTTGGCCATTTTAACTTTTTGATTCGAGCGTCACAGATGAGTCTTTTGTAGACGAAACGCGCGCCTGGCGTGCAAAATTTTAATCCTGGTTTCTATGATGGGTTTATTATTCCAGCATTTTCATTACAAATATATTTCAAATATGGCAATATAAAAAGTAAATATAAATTTATTTATCAGGAATAAACTTTGAAATTTTCAAAGTAAAAGAAAATGTTTTGCATCACGTTTGGTGTCCATTTCGATCTATCATTTCCTTAGATAAATTGCTACAGTAAATATTAGGAAGAAAATATGAATACGGAAACAACAAAAAGCAAAGTGTCTGTAACCATGATGTAATAAACATTTTTATTTCAGCAATAGTGAATGATCTTCAGATTCCACCGTTTCTGCTTTGCTGTTGCAATATAATCTCTTGATAAACATCAACTATATTGATGAAATTAACTGCTTAAAGAAATTATGTATGAGCTGGAAGCAAATATTAATGTTTTAAATTACAGAACTAACCAACGTTTTGTTATTATTTGGTTATAAACTCAAAAATACTTATAAAAAAAGGAGAAGTGGTTTGACTGCAAATGAGATTTTAGGTTCTATATATCGCCGTACGGCCTTCTACTGCATAGAAAGTTATAATAAGCCCCCACAAAACAAATTTTACAACAAATCTAACAAGAAAAACCACACCCTAATTTATGTACAAAACAACAAAACACACATGATAAGCGGTCACAAAGGACAACCACTGAATTACAGGCTCCTGATCAGGACATTGGTTCATTTTTTCAGAATATATAAGGCATTACTTTTTCCTATGCATTTTATTGTTGTTGTTTTGTAAATAAGTTATCTTAAACTATAATTGTTCATCATAAAAATTTGTGATAGATCAGTAAAAATATTAATTTCTTGAAGTTAATTTCATATGCAGTGCCAATGATCAGAACTTTTCTAGTAGATACAAATCAGAAAATAAAGTATTCATAGTTGGTTTTTTTCCCCCAAACTTCATAAAATTTTATAATTTCAAACATTAACGATCGCGATTCTCGATCATATTTTTGCGTCGATTTTATTTTTACTTCAAGTGAAACCTTCCATTCCATTTAAATACTGTACAAGCAGAAATTATAAAAATTGTTTAATTTGAAAGAGAGACACGAGGTCATCTTTTCAGTCGTCTTTACACTAAATCCGTTAGATGTGTACTGGTTAATACTTTAGTCTAGGAGAACATGATTAATTTATTAGTTATATTTCAACCAGCTTTTAGTAACTGCGAGTACTCTTATTTCAGTGCTTTGTGTTATTGTTTACTGATGTTTACAGTTTGTTCTTATGTCGTGCTGTTACACCACTGCTCCAGGTTAGGGGAGAGTTGAGCGCCCACAAACCGTTCAACCCCATCACATTCTTTATGTGCCCATCCCAAGCAAGTATAATGTAACTTAGTGGTTGTGGTTGGTTCATGTCTGTCATATTTGTTTTTGTAAATTTGACTGTTATAAATTCAGTCGATAGTTTTTTCGTTTGAATTGTTGCACAATTTTATTTTATGTCATGGCCTTTTGTAGCTGACTTTACGATATGGGTTTCTCCTTTGTTGAAGGCCTTACGTTGACCTATAATTGCTTATATCCACTTTATTTGAACTCTGGTGAATAATTGTCTCGTTGGCAATCACACCACATCTCCAATTTTGTTACAGCAATTAATAGTCTTCCACAACATGCGTTCTGCTATTATATTTGAATGTCCCTTTGGTATCTTTCGCCTCTCTTTTATGCTTAATTTTCAGTTTTCGGATTTAAACACAATGGTCTCAAAATTGCAAGACCTATTTCGCTTTAGCGTATCAAAAGTAATCGAGATGGAAGAATTAGTAGCAGTGGATAAAAAAAAGATAAACCAAATACTGTTATTATGTTACCTTAATAACTTCTTTGATGTTATAATTTGGGTGTTGATGTATAAGACGAACAACTGTATTAATAACTTCCCCACAACTGTTTAAAAAGCTAGTATCGGGTCGAACCTTCCGGTCTAAGAACTTCTCTAATGTTTCTCCAATACGAAGCCCAGGAAAATACTCTGACATTTCAACCTTTTAATCTAATAAATAAAAAAAAAATGCAATTGCAAAAAAGAAGTCATGATTAGGATAAATGAATTGAGGAATTGTTCTTATTTTCTGTCAAATAGCAAAAAATGCACGCATATTAGGACGAGAATAGTCTTGCTAGTGCGATATGAATAAGAATCTCTTTTTTTTTCTGGACCGACATGCAGATCTGGATTTTTAAGTGCCAGTTCACAAGGTATCAGTTTGAGGAGACATATCCCCATACCGAGATATATCATTCTAATTTCGTGCCGACCAGTATTTGATCTTTCTATGAAATGTCATGTGCCAAGTGGGGAAGCAGTATATTCCAATTGTAACATGAATGGTATTGTTTCCTTTGATCTTCGAGTGAGTTAAATTCTGTTATTTTAGAGGAGTGCGTTAACTGAATGAATTTTTAGTTATTGCACTCTCCAGTCCCGCCGTGTGTCGCTTGTCATAGGAAAAGCAAAGAATGGGAGGAGCTGAGACCAGTGCTCTAACTTCCTTTCTCAAAAGTTGTTATTTCACTGTCTAGCTCCGCCTCCTTGGCTTAGTAAACTATGAAATCAATGACCATAAAATGTCCTAATAAATGTAAACAAAATGCATACACAACAATATATCAAAAACAAATCGAGAAAAAAGGGGGGTGAATAACGTGGTCGATAAACGAAGAGGCGATATTGACAAATTGGTGGATACTTGTTTTTATCGTGACAATATAAATATTCCCAAAAAAATTGTCACTGATAGTTTAGTCGTTTAATTTCCTCCACTTAATGAAAGAATAAAACAAAATGTAATAGAAATTACTATAAATTTTCCTACTGTTATTTTGGTTGGATACCTGTTGTTATCGTGTCGAAATTAATAATATTCTAAAAAATTATATGTCTCTGGATGTTTAATAAATTTCTTCATTCTATAAAGGCCTATATCTGCGTGAATTGATGATGCTTCACATATTTGTCCCTGGATCTTACACGCATTCAACATGCAACCATTGCAATCAATTAAACGATCTTTTTCCAGTTCTTGTACCATTTATAAACTGGTGGCATAAACCGGTAAATAATATACCTAATAAAACTTTAAAATATTCTGAAGACGGGCATAACTATAATTGAAGTCCTAGAGCGAAAGCATAGGCCGAACCCTACCCTACATTTAGTCTAAAGGAAAGGTTGCTGGCTAATAGATACAACGTCCTGTCAAGCACTACAAAAGTCCAAAAGTCTGAAAAGACCAGTTTTTGTCTTGATTTGCATGAACAACTACTCGATATTCTCCAAATGTATGACTTGTGTAAAAGACTTAATTTTTCTTGACAAATTCTCATTTATATTAAATTTGTATGAAATTTTACTCGACAAATTCTCGACATTCTGAATATGGTCTTAAAATTTCTTGACAAATTCTTGACATTTGAATACTGTCTTGAAATTTCTCGACAGATTCTCGACATTCTTATTTTTTCTCAGTATCGCTTGACATATTCTGAACATTTTGAATTGTGTCTTAAATTTACTTGACAATTCTGAGTTTAAAAGTCATAACCAATATACATGATATAACTTTATCTTTATTTCTCTTTATATAATATACTGTTGTTTCAGTTACACTTGTTACAACAAAAACAAAAGTTGGGCATGTGAAATAATTGAAAATTTGGGTATATAAATATTTTTATAAATACAAATATAGCTATGAAATTTAAAGTATTAACAATACAAATGTGGGTATGTTGATAAAAACCAATTCAAATGTGGGTTTGTAAATAATTACAAATGTTGATTCCTAAATCTTATAAATAATTGCTAAATTATTAAAACCAATCATACTGTAGACATATTTCATTCTACATGCATAATATTCAATGTTAATAGGGAAAATAAACAATTATTGTACCAAAATGTGGTTTTTATAAATAGCAAAATTTTATTGTATACTAATTCTTCCAAGGATTAGTATAGTCGTACTATACAAATCCTTGATTTAACCAGAGACATATATACACGTGTATATATGTCTCTGATTTAACAGAAGAAAATTTGTGTATTGTCATCTGTTGCAATATATATTAAGTATTACACGTGGACAGGATGTTCCCCATACAATTAAGGTATTCTGTAATAGTTATACACCGAGGGATAGGTGTGTCTGGATAAGAAACCCCGACGGCCGGAGGGGTTTCTTATCCAGACACGCCGTATCCCGAGGTGTATAACTAACTTACACCCCATGCTAAACCCTATATTTCTTAACATTGATTACTAAAGGAAAAAGAATGAATAGCTTATTTATTTACAATATCAAACCTTGATTTATAAGATTTTTTTTTTACATGAAACCCCACTAGTAACCTTACTTTGGCTATCATCGTTCAAACTTTGAAGTGAGTAGATTTAACAAATTTCAAAGATGCTGTTTTGCATATTCCCGTTAAATCCTTGTGCTAATATGAATCAGCAGGTCAAGGTTGACCGTTTCGTGCATTCTTATTATAAAAAAAAAAGAAAACACCATGCTCCTTGTATGCAGTTGTCAATATGGACGGGTATAAGACGGACAACATTTTGAGTCAAGCGTTGGATTTGGTGGAAGAGACTTAAGATAAAGGCAATATAATAACCCAAAGTACTTACCTGTATCAGTTTAATGAAGGTAATGATAAATGTAATTTATATGTTACGGTTTTATAACCCCCACCCCACCCCCTCTATTATCAAGTATAAACAAACATTCATATTCGGACATACTGAGGATAGGTGTGTCTGGATTAGAAATCCGAGAACCGGACACGCTCAACATACAGAAATACAGATTGGATATTTAGGAACTCCCTTTTTTGTGGGGCAATCCAGGGGTGGAGGTCCAGGAGTTAGAATCTCTGTTTTTTTGTAAGATCAATGCTTAAGAATAGAGACATATGACAGGGATCAGTGGCGGATCTAGGGGGGGGGGGGGTCCGGGGGTTGGACCCCCTATTTTGTGACGATCAATGGGGAAACATGGTTGGAACCCCCCTTTTCATCCTGGACTTAGTTTTCGGGATGTAGAAGCAGGGGTTTCCAGAAACCCCGCTCGTCACACCCTGTGGTCAAAATCCATTGTTCTTCGTAACAATAGATCTATTCAATTTACACTTGTTTCAGAAATAGAAACTATGAAGTATAACAATAGAACTGGGGTGTAAAAATAAGTTATACACACCCCAGGGTACACGCGACTGTCATATGGAAAATTACTGCTTTACCTGTAATCAGCCATGCAACTTATCAGTTGACTGACCATGCCATTACAATTTTTAAAAGTTTGTTGATAGATGAAAATTATTTTTAAACCCCAGTTCTATTGACATATTCTTGACATTCTTAATAATGTCTGAATATGTCTTGACACATTCTTGACAGTCTTAAAGATGTCTAGTGACACTATCTCAACAGTATAAATTTCGCTTGAATTGTGTATAGACACATTCTGCACCGTTTAAAAACTTTCTTTTGCTGTTATATACTCATTTTTATTATCGCTAAACTAAACTTAGAAAAATCAAGACTGATCGAGACAAATTTAAGACAGTCAATAATTGGTCGAGACTAATCAAGACTCTTATCAGATGATACAGAAAGTGTTGAGAAATTGTTAGACAATGTAATACTGTCAAAACACTTGTCAAGAAAAATCAAGAACCTTTTTAGACAAATTCATATGTTAAGAATTTTTAAAAATAATTCAGACAGAAAGAATGCCGAGTAAAAATTCATGCAAATTCAGACAAAAATTGATCTTTTCAGACTTTTTGACTTTTGTAGTGAAGGGTCCCTAAACAGTATCCAAGCTTCGTTTCAATAGTATAATTACCTTCTAATATACCTATATGGAGTTATTTTCTTTCAGAACGATAGGTCATTCTTTTGAAGAATCAACCCGGACGATACCAAGTTTCAAAGAAATATGCCTCAAGGCATAGAATAATGACCTGTATAGAGTCATTATTTTCCTGGTTAAAATGCAAATTATAATTTACTTAAACATTTTAATTCGTTTGATAGTTATCGCGTGTTGTTGCAAATTGAGGGTTTACTTTTTAATATTCCATCTTTGATAGGTTTAAGCTGAGACTACTATAACACTGTGTTATAGTAGTCTCAGGTTTCAGGCAGAAACAATCCTTTCCTCCGTTTTATTAGACTGAAATACCAAAAATCGTCATTGACGCGCATTTTAACTTTCGAAACAAATAACGTGAAGTTTTGTTAATGTATCGCTACAATAAATGGATATTCGTTTTTCTTGTTACATGCACATGTATCACGACACAGTGCTCTCATCGTGCGGCTGCCAGCTCTTAATTTTTTACATTTTTATCTACCTTTTACTCTCTCAAATGATCAAATGACCAAATATTCATTTTTTTTATATAAAATAACAGCCACGTAATTTATAATGTGGGGGGGGGGGGGGGGGGATTTTATCCAGATTCTCTGTTCACACAAAAAAAATATTTTCATTCAAATGAAAAATATTCTGAATAGTTCAATTCGTTAGGAATTATCGAAAAAATAATATGCTCTTCCGCGATAAAAATGTCATGAAGACAGAAAAAAACCATAACACACTCTTTCATCAACTAATTTGGTACAATAAATTACTTACAAATTGACTTGTATTTTCATACATCATTATCGGGCGGTTACTTGCTTCATGTCGTGCAAATATATTTTTATTGGACCTGGATAAAGATTTCTAAGCATTATATCTAGATTAATTAGTGAGTTTTATTTCACATTAAAAATAAGCCGTAGGGCATATTAAAACTTGAACGCATCAGAAAAGAATATTCCACTTTATTGTTGTCGGTAAAATAGGATGCAAATCCTGCAAATCTTTGCAGATATTAATATTTTTTGACGGTATATAAGTCAGATAATGTATATTTTAAGGTTTTTCGTGTCGTATAACACACCTCGGGGTGTCAGGATTGTCCAAAGAAAGACCTCCC